ATGGTTGGTGGGCCCCCGTCGCACAGCGCTATAAAGGAAAGGTGGGGGCCGGGGCTCGTGGTACGAGGTTCACCGCGCCGCCAGTCACCCCACCGATATCCTATCCCTAGACCCGATCTTGAGAAGGGGCGCTGCCAGCGACGGGAAGCACCACCGACGCCGGCAACGCCACCCGACGTGCACGCCGCCACTGAGGACGCCACAGCGCCGACTCCCTCTCCACCGAACGTCGCTGCCGGCGCGCAGATGGCGTCCGTCAACGAAACCCCGGCCGGAGCTTCGACAACTACGGCATTTGATGGTTTGCAACCTATCACCCCTTTCTCTCTGTCTCTCTGTGATCCCGAACATCTATTACTACTATGCTAAGTATCCCGATCTGATGAATACACCTAAGTTGAAACCTAACAATCACTACCTCTCCAAAGACATTGTTTTTGCGCTCGGTCAATGTTTTCAATGAAGCCTTTGGGTACCTTGATAGTGCACAGGGTGTAAGTGACAATTGGGGTGATTGCTGAGTTGACCATCTCTAATCTTCCCGAATATGATAGCCAAATAGAGCATGCTGACAGCCTTTTCTCAACACAATTCATGATCGGTGATAAATCTTCTATCTTAGGCTTAGTAGTACCCATCAGGAGGCCCAAATAGGTGAAAGGGAAACCTCCAATCTGACAGCCAAAGGTATTGGCTAAGTTCTGGGATCTCTCCTGGCTGATATTAATGGGAATCAACTGAGATTTTCCATAGTTCACCTTTAAGCCCGTAGCCGTTTCAAAGCCGTGTAGCAATGCTTTTAAGAAGAATAACTGGTTTGCGTCTGCCTGCAGGAGTAGGAGCGTGTCGTCGGCATATTGAATGATCGGGAACTCACCAGCTTCATGAGGGATCGGTGCCTTTAGCAGGTTTATACTAGCTGCCTTGTTCGCAAGGATTTGCAAGAGCTAAGCCGCCAAAACAAAAAGCAAGGGTGACAACGGATCTCCTTATCGAACACCACGCTTGCACTTAAAAAATTTGCTGGGGACTCCATTCAGGAGGGCTGCTGAGGAGCCAGAGGAAAGAATACTTCGAATCCATGAAATCCATCTGGTAGGGAAGCCCATATGCTGCAGCATGAGGAGAATCGTTGAGTGCTCAACAGTATCGAAGGCCTTTTCGAAATCTAGCTTCGGAATAATTGTTTCCCTGCGTGAGTGATGACACTAATGTATGTACTCAAAGCTCCATGCTAGGCAATGTTGAATGGACTGTGAACGGATGAAACCGTACTGATTTTTATGCACCAGCTTGAGAATAGCCAACTGTAGACGATCAGCCAAGATCTTGGTGAGTATTTTCAGAGTTATGTTTAAGAGCGAGATGGGCCTGAAGTCGTTGACAGACTCTAGACTATCTACTTTGGGCACCAGTGTAATAAAAGAACTGTTGATGCACTCCAAGTTTGCGTTGCCATTGTAGAATTCCTCACACAAGGCATAAAAATCATGACAAATAGTTGACCAACATTTTTCCATAAATAGACCGTTGAAACCATCCGGCCCCGGGGCTTTATCAGGAGGCATCTTTTTGATAATAGCATCAATTTCCTCATGTTGAAAAGGCAGCACTAGATGATCAAGGTCATCTGCCACTTGCACTAAAGAGCCAAGATCAAAGACCATTACTGGGTCTGAAGAAACCCCCGTACGCTTTCTGAATGACGACCAAAGGAGGCTAGCCTTCCCCTCGTGGTCTTGGATCCAACTACCATGGTCATTTAGAAGCTGTGGAATAGAATTCCTTCTGTGGGAGATAGTAGCCATGCCATGAAAAAATTTGGTGCATTCATCTCCAAACTTAATCCTGTTCACTGTGTACCTCTTCTTCCAGTATTCATTCTTATACCTGAGCAGTGTGCAGAGTTGTCTTTTGACTAGAATTCTCAGGTTGCATTCAGGGTTAAAGAGCTGCCTCCTGTCCTCTAAATTATCTAGGAAGAGAATCACCTTATTGCAATTTTCTATTAGCAGCGACAAGTTTGAGAGGCCCTTACTCCAATTCTTCAGAACACCTCTTAGTCCTTTGAATTTCATTGAGATGGTTTTGGCAGCCGAACCAACATTTGGCGAGGATACCCAATGATTCTGAACTATTTCCAGGAACCCTGTATGTTGTACCCAAAAATTCTCGAAGTTTTAAAGATATTGGAACGGGGAATCTTGGTGTCAATTACGATCTTACACGGAATATGATCTTGGCCATCGGCAAAACTTCAGTGTTTGGGAACTGCACAGTCCAATTTGGTGACGTAAAAAACCAGTCTAACTGTTCCAGTAGAGGGTTATCTTGCATGTTACTCCATGTAAATGCTCTGCCTTTTAGCTGAAGTTCAATAAGCCCCAGATGTCCTATAGCATCATTGAAGATGAGTGTGTCAGCAAGACATCCTCCTGGCTTGTTACGATTTTGCAGTGAACGATAAAAGTTGAAGTCTCCCATGAAAATCCAATTGTCATCCTCTAATAATTGGTGACTACGGAACCAGTTAATAAACTCTGACCGTGCCGGTTCCACACAAGGGGCATAAATGTTGGTTAGGTACCAGGTATCTGAATTGTGAAGTGATGAGAATGAAACTGTCATACCAAAAGGTTGTTTCTCGAGAACTTGGCCCACAAAACAAGAACTGTTCCAAACTATCAGAATGCCACCTGGTGCCCCCACCGAGGGAACAAAATCAAATTTATCAGCATTTCGGTGCAAATTTCCGAATGAAAGACATATCAAAGTGTTCTTTTTCGTCTGTTGTAAGCAAACGATTGAGCAGGCACTTTCTTCTATTTTATCTCGAACTGCATCCCATTTGCCCACTACATTAATCCCCTTATATTCCAACATAAGATTTGCCAGGATCTATTATTCATTGCTGCCGTGGTTGAGGGAGGGCGCCTGCATCAGCGCGTCATCAGACAGCTCCTCAGGAGCTATCCCACATTTGACACCCCACCCTTGCAGGATCTGTAGAGGGATGGGACCAGCTTTGCCCGTCTCTTCATCAATTAGGAGCACTGGACATGTCTTCCTCTTCTTGGACGGATTGCCATTCAATCTGACCTCCTGGAAGCCATCTTTCTTGCTGCTCATTCTAGTTCCACGCCTGACCATACTGTCGACCAAAGGGGTGGTGGGGTTGCTCGGTGCAGCCGGCAATGAGAGCATAGAGTACCTGTGACCACCACGTTTGTTTCGGCCTGCTGCACTTGGTGGGCTAGGCTGCATCTCTTCTGTTTGAAATTCAAATTCCATTGGGCTGGGATCACCTGAGCCTTGCACATCACGTGGGTCAGGTAGTAGAATAACATGAGGTGCTAAAACTCTTGTCTTTGTAGTCTGGCGACTAGCAACCATAGCAGGCCAGAGCTGTAGCGCTATAACAGCAGGAACCGGCTTCCATGGGACTATCTCCAGGCCTTTGGGGGTTGAAGTAGTGGAGGGCAATGCAGCTAGGGCAGTCTGGACAGCTTCTATGTTGACCACAATGGGACCTTCAGTGACTGTGGCTCTGGCAAAGATGTCACTTAGGAGACTTTTCCTGTTGAAGATCAATATGTTGTCGATCAGCATGTTGCCGAAGAGGAAGGGGCGAGGATTGACCGGGAAATTGGCCGTGACGCCGCTGGCGAGGGGTGGTGGAGTGGAGGTGGGGTTTTCTGTGGGTTGGGGAAGTGTTTCTAGTGATGACGGCTGATGCGAGGTGGGAGAGAGGAAACCCTGCTCTTTGCGAACCAAATCCACGAAATCCGGCTTATGCTGCGGACTTGTATTAGATTGGAAATTAACTTGATCCTGTTCCAAATTGAGGGAAGCTGAAGAATCCTCTATTCCAGCACGAGGATCTGGAACATGATTGCGAGACGACATGCACTGTTCCAAAGTGGGCTCCGGCTGCCGCTGGATGGATTTTTTGGGCCTCCATACTAGACGTGGCTCAGCTTGAGTTGTCATCAGTTTAGGCTCAGCAGATTTTGGCCTCCAAATCCAGATTGGTTTGGGCTGAATGTTAGAGGGGCAGCGCCTGTTAACATGTCCAAAATTGAAGCATTGGGCGCATCGCACCCTTTGAGCGGCAGTAGCGCCTAGTGTGGCCCAAGTCTAGGCAGCGAAAACACTTCAGCAAACAGCCCAAGGATTTTGAATTTGGAAACGGCGCGGGATCATCGGATCCAGGCATGGAAGGCGCCGTGTTCTTAGGCTCACCGTTACTACCAACGGGATCTCGCCTGAGGATCGACGAAGGACCAAACATCATGCGCTGAGAAAGACTGCTGGGATAAAACTGGCTTGAGAAAGAACCAAAAACAAGAGAGATGCTTGGCTGGTGTTTGATTTTTGGAGGGGGCTGAACAATTGGTTTAGCAAAATGCACACGCTTTAGATTTTATTTTCTTTTCGCTTCCTTCTTGGAGGATTTGGAGAGGACCAATGTCCATTCCTTCTCTTGCTCAATTTCCCAAGCTCTCTTTCCACGCTCCCAATGAGGCGTACCATTGTTCCATAGATGGAAATACACATCAAAGAAAGAAGTTGTGACGCGCCGGAGGTTGTACACATAGAACCCAACCTCTTTTGAGAACACCGAAAACTGGAAATGATTGTTACTGAGGAACTTGACATGAAAATCTGAAGATCAACCCCCCAAACAAGATTGCAAAGCCAACGCGACTGATTCTTCCATCAACCGGAACAAGAACCTCCGAAAAGTGACCAGCAAGAAGAACGATCCATCCGGAGAGGGGTAAGGGTGGTGTACCGGGGATTTGAATCGCAGGCGAACCTCATCTTGGAACTCCAACCCTCTATCGAAATCCAGACGATCCACAAGGTTCGAGGAGGACCCCATGGACAGCGATCAGGGAGGGGAGATCACCAAATTCCTTTACAACATAGTGTCCCAGCGCAGCGACCAGACTCCCTGCCAAGCACCCCACGATCTCCAAACATTGTGACAGAGGGAAATGACCGCTTCAGCTCACCATCTTCAGCACAACTTCATTAGCAACAAAACATCAAACACCTTCAGGGCAGCAACTTTGCTCAATCTTCCAGGAACAACCAGTAGTGGGAACTCCCCCTTTAGAACAGCCAGATCAGGCTTCCAGCAGAGAGATGCCACTCAGATGAAACCCAGAGAGCATATCCAGCTTCTGGACCCGTCAGAAGTGAAGAACAGACCAGCGGTGCAGAGAACAAGAGGATGCGCACGACTACGGGAGGGGAGATCACCAAATTGGGCAGCGGTGGGGGCAGTCTTGGGTGGCGGCGGTGGCTGGATTGTTGTTTACTATTATTACGTTACTATCACATGGAATAAATATGTATAATAATTGGAGACCGGGTGGGACTGGGCTTGGATGGACTTGGACTTAGTTGGGCAACAGAGCGGGGCTCTGGTTGCATTTGTCCCGCCTGTGTGGATTGAGGACCGTCCGTTGCATTGGATACTAGTCAGGTCACAGACTCATTATTTCGAGCACATACTTGCTTATGGGAGCGGAAAGACTTGTACATCTCTTGTCATGGGTTCCGGCTCTTTTCGGACCAACTGTTATAAATGGATTATTAGGTAGGAGGTCTAAGCACCACACTGAGGCCGGGCCTGCAGTGTTGGGGGCTTGGAGTCCTAGTTTGGATGGGGACCTAGACCCCTTGACAGGAGTGGAGCGGGTTGGTCTTGTCTGTGCCCGGGTTACAGATGAGGCGTGTGTTTTTTCGGGGTACCCAGCTAAGCACATTGATTCGTGAATCACCGTTTCTACGTGACGGTACGACTTGGCTACTGTCTAGCACCGTAGTAATAACTGGAACATGGAAGGATGGTAAAATGGTTCTGATTGCTTACCACCTACTTGAAAGTAGCATAGGTGCTTATATAATGGTTGTTAAGGGACTAATTATGACTGCTAATAAAAGTTGATTATAAGGATGCGCATTTAGTAATGCTTCATGCAGTTGCAATAAACCCACAAGCCAAATAGCCTTGCATAACCTTAGAGTCTTTTATTTTCACCTGTCGGGTAAGTCTTGCTGAGTACAATTGAGTACTCAGGGTTTTATTCCCCCTGTTGCAGGTGACAGGCGTTTTTGGAGCTGACACCTGTGTGGAAACCTCTTGGTGGGCTCAACGATGATTTCCTTTACGTGCGGACATAGAGTTGTTTAAAACTTCCACCAAGAATGTTTTTTCAAAAGGAAGACTTACAACCTGTTATCATTTCATGCATATAAATGTTCTTCGCGATAATGTTCAACTTGGCATTAAATGATTTCCAATCCGCTGAAACTCTGATAACATTTTATATTCCGCTGTTATAATCAAATAATGAATTACTCTGATGTTGTACTAAAAGTGGTGTAAGAAATGGCAAGGATGTTGTAAGCTTTACTCTCTCATTTATGATCCTGATGTAAAAATATGGATTTTCGAGTTCTCCTTGTGGTGTGCTCGACGGAATCGCAGATAATTGTAGTGCTCTCTCTTAGGTACTTAGTGTCTAGTGGAAGACAAGTACCCTTGGGAGGGCATTAGATTGTTGCGGTTCTACCACTGAAGTGGTATCGAGCACAAATGAGGCAATAAAGTTTGAAATCCTTTCTAAATTAAAATTTGACAACAAATTCTTTTTAAAAAGTTAGGACGTTTGCATACGAAGTTATATACGTAGCCCAATTACTATGGTTATGTATCCAGGATAGATAGCACTCTGCTGACTTAGGCTTAATCAAGTTTTCTGCAGGTACCCTAACCCTGAGCATAGTTCGATAGTATCGACTAGCTACAGGGAGAGCACGATGTGCCAAAAGTCTGAGAACGGTTGCCTATATGTCGGTAACAGTGTGAGGACGGATAGGACGTGCATTCATGCATACCCTGTTTGTGCAATTGTTGTTTAGTCGACCGGTCATTGTTCTGTGGAGCCATGATGGTACTGTAGTCTCGTGCGTCGCGTATGCCTGTTGGTTCACGCTTGCCTTGGCTCATAAGCTTTTCGTACCCCCCTTTCTGCGCTCTTGTCGGACCGCTACCCTATAGTCGTACTAGTCTTTTATGGCCTCGAGTACCGCTCACCTTGTGCGCGTAAAAATCTTGCTGTTTACTTTTACTGGCCCCCATGCAAGGCTCGAGGGTGGACCGCGTCAGGACCACTGGCCGCGCTGTCTTTTGAAAAGGGCAGGTCTAGCCACTTGGAATCATCAAGCACCGCCACTGCTCTTTTGAATGTGCATTTGAAACTACTGAACCGAAAGTTTTGGAATTAGTTTTTTTTCTTCTGTACACTATCTTTTTTTTGTATTGTTTTGTGGTCATATTCTGCCATGCACTCTAAACTTACCCTTTCTGTTATGTAACACACTTACCTTTTTAGGTATATTGATTATCTCTTCTTGGGAGACTATGTTGACCGAGGCCAGCACAGCTTGGAGACAATAACTTTGCTTCTTGCTCTTAAAGTGAGTACCAATACCTGAAATGCCTTTGTTGTTGCTGCAACCATTTGTATAAAATTTAGTTCTGATTTTTGAGAAACATTACAGATTGAGTACCCTGAAAATGTACACTTGATCAGAGGAAATCATGAAGCTGCTGACATCAATGCTCTTTTTGGCTTCCGCCTTGAATGCATTGAGAGAATGGTAGGCATGCATTTCTGCATATATTTGTTTGAATTGAAATATTGCATGCATTAGTTGAATGAACCCTTTGATGTAGGGTGAAAGTGATGGGATATGGGCTTGGACAAGATTCAATCAACTGTTCAATTATCTCCCACTTGCTGCCATGATAGAAAAGAAAATAATCTGCATGCATGGTGGCATAGGAAGGTCAATAAACACCGTGGAGCAAATTGAGAAACTTGAAAGGCCTATCACAATGGATGTTGGTTCCATTATCCTCATGGACCTCTTATGGTATTAAGTTGCCCATTTCATCATCTTTACATTGATCTATAGCATGATTATGAATGCTTTTTTCTTGTATAAATGCAGGTCTGATCCTACAGAAAATGATAGCGTGGAGGGTTTGAGACCTAATGCACGAGGGCCCGGCTTAGTGACATTTGGGGTATGTATGACCGTATGATGGTTCTGTTGCTATAGAATTCTTAATAGTTGTGTTTTCTTTTACTTTATCACGAGTTAGTCCCTCCAGACTGAATATTGTGTTCTTTTTTTGGATAATCAATCTTATCTTAATTTTGTTGTTGACCCTGCTGATTAAACTTGTTTCTTATTAAATTTTCAGCCTGATCGAGTAACAGAATTCTGTAAACGAAACAAATTGCAATTGATCATAAGAGCCCATGAGTGTGTTATGGATGGGTTTGAACGTTTCGCTCATGGACAATTGATCACTTTATTTTCAGCAACAAATTACTGTGGTATGTATCTTGCACCTTCTAGCTCATTTTAAAATTATGTTTCTTTTTTTTTTAGTTTTCTCTTAGACCTTTCCTGCACCAGGTACTGCAAACAACGCAGGGGCCATACTTGTTGTTGGCAGGGGCTTAGTTATCGTGCCAAAGTTAATTCATCCACTTCCACCGCCTGTTAATTCACCTGAGTCCTCCCCTGAACGTGGGGATGCCACATGGATGCAGGTCAGAATTAATCTTTTTCTTCTTTTAGTAAGGGTCTGAGGGAAAAATGAGGATTGATCAAGAATTGTAAGTTGTTGGAAATTACTGAATGCATATTAATTAAAAATATGTATTTCTGTGCCTATTTGATCACTGAATGCCTCGCCATGAGTTATTCTTCTGTCTTCTGTTGTGGGATTAAAAATAGGCTAACTTACAATGGTATTGGAATTCTAATTATCTGTAGGAGCTTAATATTCAGCGGCCACCTACTCCAACCAGAGGGAGGCCACAAGCTGCCGGTGATAGGAATTCTCTTGCTTACATATGATACTTGACTTGACAGAGCCACCTCAGACTTCTGGATATGTTTGTTTGTAATCAGAAATTTCTTTACCAGTTTCAAGGTACATATGGTATAGCCAAGAAGAACAACCAACAGGACATCATGGATACACCTGAGATCAGTTCCCTGGTAATCCATTGTGATGCGTCGGTTTTAACTGTAGTTGTGTGCTACCGTGACTTCAGCTCCTCACCGGGAAGCTACATAACAGCATTTCAGATCTCAAGCAACATTATATGCTTCCCAGCCTGATTTGGCGCTCTACTCCATTGTTTGGACTGAAAGTTGCGATACCGGTGGACAATAATCAATTCTGATGTAGATGTAATAGCTAATCTGTAATTTTAGTGTACATGGATAGATTGTTCATTCCTCAGAGTAAGAAGGTTTGCAAATGTTTGCATACCATGCTGCAGCCTGGGACGCTGTTTAAACAGGACAGCCATACAAGTTACCAGATCTGAGTTAGATTGGGCAGAGAGACCTGAGCCATTTCATTTGCTCTTTATGGAGCATGAATGTAAGGGGTTGTGTTGTGAAATATTGAATTTGTTATAGGTGTTTGTGCAATAAATTAAGTTTTGCTTGATTCAGTGAATGCTTTGATTTTAGTGACCTGAGTTACAAATGAATATATTTCGGAGATCAATTGTCTAATTGTTTTGGGTTATCTTAAGTAAACCATTTGAAACTTTGGTTATAAATTACCTTTTTATATGTTTATTAGTTTAGAAATTTCAAAGTGATACGAGTAGATTGTCTCCAAATGGGGATTAGTAAAAGTATACCTAGTTATGTTTCATAAATATTGCTTTACATAACTTAGTACTAGCCAAAGTCATATTTTGGAGATTTGATTGCAGAACATCACTTAGATGTGTCTATAAATGAAAGTTGGTTAAACACAACTTTATTCTATAGAAATTAAAACTATAATCTGTCACTTATATCATACCTACCTTTCAGGTACTTATAAGGAAGAAGCAAAAGAAACATGGTGTTTATATATAGAAAAAAAACTACACTAACCATATCATACGCAGGTGTACTAAAATTGAGAAACAAAAACCAAAGCATGGGAAGGAAGGGTCCAAAACATTTTTTTAATGAACAATACCTGACGTGTGTTTCTATTGATATACCAGACAACTGAAAATAAACTATAGAAAAGCAACAACGAACCTCGTGCCGCAACAACTCAAAAAAACTACCCAACAAAGAAGACCAGCACCGCCGAGCTCTAAATGTGATTGACAGCTCCTCCCTAACCAACAATGCTCCTCCCTAACCAACAATGCCCAATCGCATACCGTTAAGAGCATGAACTCCTGGACGTCGTCGGTATAAATCGGTGCAAAGGAAGTCACATTCTTTTATTTGTTGTGCAAGCCATGTCATATGCATCACACTCTTAGAGCAAGGCTAATGATTTCGCCTGCTGCCGGCTAAATGCATGTGCCATGTCATACAAAGTAAGTGATACCGTCTACTCATATAATAGGTTGGATGGAAGACGGGCTGTATCAAATCTACGAGCAATTAATGTTTTGCAGTTGCAGCCGAGTATAGCGGCAGCTCCCAGCCAGCAACCAGCTGCAAGGTAGCCTTTTTGTCTCGTAATCTGTGATTCAGCCGGCGAGAAGCTAAGCACCGGCTCGGCACCCTCTCTCCTAACGTGGCATTCTTACTGTTGACGTGGAGCTCATCTCGCCGACTCAAATACCTTATTATACCTGCTCTTATATATTCTCACACGCTTGTTTAGAAACCCCACGAATTCCAAAATATAGGGGAGTTTTCACCTTAATGTATGCAAATATAATGACTTGGTCAAGTTTTTTTTAATTCAATCCAAATGCATATATTAAAGGGGAGATTTCTCTATATGTTGGGGTTCAAAAGCTTTAATTATATTTATCTTATGTAATCCTAAATTAAGTTGTCATCAAACACAAAAATAAGAGAGATTGTAAGTGCATTTGGCCCACCTATGCCGGTTTTGGTGTATTAATGACAAATCAATTTATGAACTAATCAATTTGATGAGATTCAAATGTAGCTATTAATCCCTTTGGGGATTGAATTAAGCTTGTGACCCCTCAATTTTAACGAAGAAGCGGCGCTCAACTCAATAGAGGCTTTATTTGTTTTATATTTTGATATTGAGTATAGAAAACACCATACTATAAAAGGGATACAAATCTCAAAGACTTGAGGAATACAGAGTGCTCAAGTTGAGTAGGTCAAGAGGATGACACTCAGTTTAGGTGAATTAACTTGGTGTGTACTCACACTCTTGTAACATCAAAATTGGTGTTGTGTGTTTTAATAGCGCTTCATCAAATTTGGCCATGTTATTAATCTCTACTAGGGGACGAGTTGAAGTCATGAAGCCTAGAAGGGGCGTGAGGTATTTCATTCCTATTGGCCATGACACCTAAAACAATTTAGGTCTCGCTTGTCTTGGGTTCTCGCGTTTCTTGTTGCAATTGCGATATTCAGCCTGTTCGATTATGCTGAAATTTGGTTTATGCTGAAACTTATGCTGAAATATTATGAGAGGAAAATACTGTTCGTTTACTGAAAAATACTGCCGAAGTAGTGTAGCAGAACAGTTTTTTCTGTGTGCCTGTGTGTGTGTGTGTGTGAGAGAGAGAGAGAGAGAGTGTATGTGTTGTGTTCAATGTGTGTTGAAGTGTGGTTTGTGGAGGTTTCCCCCCTTTTTCCGCTTTTAATATAATGATAATTTGTAGGTCTCCTTTGTGTTGGAGAAAAAATGTATACTTATTTGTGTTTTTTTTATAAATTATGCTACTTAACAGATTATTGTCAAATCGTATTTTGAAGACTATGCCAATATACAAATGTGTCACTTATTTGTGTGTAAATGGAAATGCGGTTAAACACAAGTTTATTGGGGGAAAAACTATATTGCCGTATTATACTTACCAGGAGTACCGCTGAGAGATGACACATGTACACGAGATACCAAAGGAAAATCTTAATTTTTAGAGAAATTTTTAACTTCCAAATCAATTTATGAGAGAGGCATATTCCGATTCATAATGCGAAGATACCTAGAGCAGACTATAAAATGACTACTATGAAATTAAGTCAGCACATATATATATATATATATATATATATATATATATATATATATATATATATATATATATATATATATATATATATTCCAGACCATATCATTACTCTCCCCACCACAAAATAGAAATTGAAAGGTAAGTACAAGAGTTATTACAAGCAGGTCTTATAGCCCACAGTCATAGTCTATTTGCATCTCCAGTCCTGTTAGTTAAGAAGAAAGATGGCTCTTGGCGGTTTTGTGTGGACTATAGGAAGCTTAATGATATCACTATTAAGAATATATTCCCCATGCCAATTATTGAAGAGATTTTGGATGAATTAGCTGAAGCAAAGCTTTTCACAAAGTTAGTTGTGAGGTCTGGTTACCATCAAGTGAGGATGCATCCCCTTGATGAACACAAAATTGCATTCAAAACACACCAAGGGCACTACCAGTTTAAAGTGATGCCTTTTGGACTCACAAATGCACCTGCAACTTTTCAGTGCATCATGAATCACATTCTGAAGCCTTTTCTCAGAAAGTTTGTCTTGGTCTTTCTAGATGATATACTCATCTACAGTGCCACAATTAATGGAGGATCATATGGATCATATCCAGCAAGTGTTGGAACAGCTAAGGAAACACCAATTCTTTCTTAAGGCCAGTAAATGCTCCTTTGCTCAACCAAGCCTAGAGTATCTTGGACGTATCATTTCTGCTCAGGGAGTGTCCACAGATCCTAGCAAGATCCATGACATGTTACACTGGCCAGTGCCCACTAACTTCACTGAACTCAAAGCATTTTTAGGTCTCACAGGATATTATAGAAGGTTTGTCAAAGGATATAGGGTACTGACAAAACCTCTCACAAATTTGCTGACTCTTAAGCAGTTCCTGTGGACAGATGATGCTTAGTTGGCATTTGATGACATCAAGGTGGCTATGACACAAACACCAGTTTTGGCTCTTCCAAATTTTTAAGAAACATTTACTCTGGAGACTGATGCATGTCAAAGTGGCATTGGGGCTGTACTTATGCAAAGAGGGCAACCCATTGCTTTTCTCAGTAACACTGGGCAAAAAGCATCAAGAATTATCTATCTATGAGAAGGAATTTTTTGCTCTCATTATGGCTGTGGAGAAGTAGAGACACTATTTGGAAGGCAGGAATTCTTAATTGTCACTGACCATGAGTCCTTAGCCTACCTAAATGAACAAAACTTGCATTCTGAAATGCAAAGGAAGGCTATGACTAGGTTGATGGGACTCCAATTCAAAATCATCTACAGAAAAGGAAAGGGAAATGTTGCTGCTGATGCTTTATCCAGGGTGGCACATCTGATAGCCTTACAGGCAATATCTTCAGTGCTGCCTGGATCCAAGTTCTTAATTCTTACACAACAGATCCTCAGGCTCAACAACTTTTGAAGCAACTGGCCATTTCTAGTCCTGATTCTTAGGGGTTCAGTCTAGATAAAGGATTGATTTGGCATCAAGATAAAGTTTGGATTGGGTACAACTCAGCCTTGCAAACCAAGATCATTGCAGCATGTCACTCTAGTGCTCTAGGGGGCCACTCAGGAACTGCTGCCACCTATTATAGACTGAAGAAACACTTTGCATGGAAGGGAATGAAACAGGATGTGGAAGCATTTGTGAAACAATGCACAATCTGTCAGCAGTCTAAACATTCCAATACACACCCAATGGGGCTGCTGCAACCACTACCCATCCTAGAGGGAGTTTGGAGAGATCTCTCCATGGATTTCATAGAAGGCTTGCCCAAATCAGAGGGGTTCAGTGTGATTCTGGTGGTGGTAGACAGGCTTACCAAATATGCTCATTTCATTCCTGTGAAACACCCCTATACAGCCTCTTCCATTGCCCACCTGTTTCTGGAGAATGTAGTCAAACTTCATGGATTACCTAGCACAATTGTGTCTGACAGGGATACTATTTTCCTCAGCAACTTCTGGAAAGAGCTGTTCAAGTTATACAGAGTCAATTTGCATCTGACTACAGCATATCACCCACAAAGTGATGGGCAAACTGAGAGGGTGAACCAATGTGTTGAGATGTATCTCAGGTGTTGTAGGGTCGAGATGGCGACTAGAGGGGGGTGAATAGTCCTTTCTAAAACTAATCGCACCGGCTAATCGAAACAAATGCGGAATTAAAACTATTCGGTCTAGCCAAGACTACACCCCTCTATCTATAACTCAAGCACCTAGCAAAATATACTAATTATGCTTACTAAGGTGCCAGGCTAGGGAGCTCACCTAAACAAGTCTAGGTTGCAAGGTCACACAAACCTAAGCAACTAGTATTTCAAGCAATGAGGGAGCTCCTACACATGCTAGTAAGCAAAAGCACAAA